TCGTGGGAGGTGTTTCAGTTGGTCGCCACCCCCTGGTCTCCCGTTTTATGCAGGGTTCCAGACGGCTTAGGCCTTTCCGCCCAGCACGAGTTCCTTCTTGGGACTTATCGATTGTTTTGGAGGGCCTGACAGGCCATCCTTTTGAGCTGTCGGAGTCTGTGTCAGAGAAGCTCTTGACCCTAAAGACGGTTCTTTTGATGGCTTTATCCTCCCTTAAGAGGGTAGGGGATCTGCAGGCTCTCTCAATCAGCCCTTCGTGTATGGACTTTGCCCCAGGGCTGGTTAAAGTCTTTTTGCGACCTAGGCCTGATTATGTTCCTAAGGTCGCTTCGACTCTGTTTTGCTTTCAGCAAGTGGTCTTAGAGGCCTTCTCCCCAGCTGATGCGGGGCCAGTTAGCCTGAGTCTCTGCCCAGTGAGGGCACTTAAGATCTATGTTGACCGCACGGCTCAGTGGCGTGGATCTGACCAGTTGTTTGTGTGTTTTAGTGGTAAGAGCAGAGGTTCTGCTGTCACTAAACAGCGGATGTCACACTGGATAGTGGAGGCTATCTCTTTGGCCTATGAGGCGCGTGGCTTGACTTCGCCTTTAGGGGTGCATGCTCATTCTACAAGAGCATTGGCTTCTTCTCAGGCCTTCTTCAAAGGGTCCTCGATGGAAGATGTTTGTGCTGCGGCAGGATGGTCCTCTCCTAGCACCTTCATCAAGTTCTACAGTCTGGACGTGAGGTTGGCTCCTGGCTCCCGGGTCTTATCCGCTTGAGCAGACGCTTTCCTTGGTCTTCCAGCTATCTAAAGGTACGTCAGGCGTTATGGTATAGTGTTCCCAAAGCGATGACGTCATCGCAGCATCGAAGTGAGCCTATGAGAGGGAACATCTCGGTTACGTATGTAACCTTGGTTCCCTGAATAGGGAACGAGATGCTGCAATGCGGGCCGTTCCGTACCTTTGATAGCACTTCCTTCGTAAACAAGTGGAAATCTGATGAAATAGCGCGCAGCACGCTGATATAGCTCACCTACGTGCGCTACAAAACAAAACTGGAAATCGAGGGGTTATGACGTCATTGGCAGGCGACACAATGACACTATTTTTTAATTATTATTTTTTTAATTAAAGATATAACATTCACAGGGGATACAGTCAAAGCAATAAAATACATACATAACCAGAATACAAAACAGTAAATACATAATAATAAAAATGAAATATAAACAGAAAAAAACAAATAAATAAAAAGTTAACAAACATCTTTCAAAAAAAAAAATATATAAATAAATCATAAATAAATTAAAATAAAAGATTACACATAAAATTGCAACTTCAAAGAATACTCAGGAGGTAACCCTTACATCAAAGTCATTATTTTTTCCATCAATACAGTAGTTTTAGCAGCTTTCCTATTAAGTGATGAGCAGAGAGATTCATAAAATAGTTTCAAATCAAAACAAAAACTCCTAACATACAATACAATCAGTAACTTTACATTTGTGAAGATGAAATAGGCCACAAAGAGTTACCAGTTTTAACATATCATCCAGCTCCTTTGATCCTGATTCCCAAATCAAAAATAGTACATTAATTATCTCAAAACTAAAAAGTTTGTTGTAAGCTTAGAAAACAAGCCAAGACATTTCTTTCCAAAAAACCTTTGCATAATCACATTAAAAAAATAAGTGTGATATTGTTTCCAAATTAGAATTACAGAATGTGCATTGTGAAGAGATGTCCAACTTAAATGAAAAAACGGTTCATTACTCGAAGCTTTTTAACACAGTGCGCATGAGCGACATCTGGTGGTCAGACTCGGTTTCTCCAGCCTATCTAACGAAACATCGCGGAGCAGAGGATGGTTTGAAAAAGTTTTTAAATATGAAGAATTTTATAGTAAAGTTCTTTCATCTTGTTAGGTAACAAAAACTTGTTAATACCGGCCCATATTTTAATAGTAGAAAGAAAAGGGTAATTTAATTTCCACTTATAAAATGCTTTAGGATGACAACTAAGCTTCTTCATAAGGGTCGACACAATGACACTATGGACATGGTTCGTGTCACTAGTTAAAATTGCTTATTTCTCTGGATTTAAACATTCTTCGAAACATTTGGGATAATGTAAGTACACAAGTCAGCAAAATATATAACACTGTTCTAGTGGTTTTTGGATATTTTAATAAAAAAATCTTACATAGGCTATTGTGCCTTTAATGCTGGTCATTTTTAATAATTGTATTATTATAATATTATTAATAATATATTTTAATAATGCTGGTTCAGTGAGTCAGTGCTCGGACCAATTCCGTTGGATTCATGAAACCCTTTTCCCTTGCAGCATAAAAGTAAAGAATCCTTAGGACCTCTGTTGGATTGTCTATAAACTAATTACAAATATGGTTAAAGCAGAATCTTTTAGTGTTAAACAAGAACAAAACCGAAATCATTTTGTTTGGTCATATGAAGACTGTGCCCTTCATTTTGGTCATCTCTCTTCCTACTTTACACCCTGTGCTAAAAATTTTGGTGTTCTTTTTGATTGCAACCTGTGTTTTAAGAATTAAATTAGTGCAGTGGTCAAATCAAGTTTCTTCCACTTACGGCGTTTATCAAAAATCAAAACTTTACTCTCTGTAAAACAGTTTGAACAGATTATTCACTTGTTTGTTCTATCTCGTTTAGATTAGGCTACTGTAATTCACTATATGGTAGACTATAAGTCAGTACTATAATGCGTTTACAGATGGTCCAAAATGCTGCTGCAAGGTTGCTGACAGGCAGACGGAGGTTCGACTGGTTCGACTGGTTACCACCAGTCAAATTTAGAATTATTTTTAAAATGGTAACTTTTGTTTTTAAATCTCTGCATAATCAAGCCCTAACATATCTCTCTGAGGCAATCTCTACTCATAAACCAAATCCCTAAGATCCAGTAATCTTGATCTCCTCTCTGTTCCTAGATCGAGGTTCCATTGACGTGATCGAGCCTTCGCTGTTGCTGGTCCTTGCTGTTTTGTCAATAGCTTTTATTTAGCCGTGTCAATTGTATTGTTATATTGTGTTTTGATGTTTTGTGGTTTCTTATTTGTTTTATTTTAGCTGTATTGTAGCTACAGCACTTTGGATCAACCGGTAGTTGTGTGAAAGTGCTTTATAAATAAATAAAGAAAAGAAGACGATTATTTTGAAATATTCTACTCAGAAGAACGATTCGGTCACGAATCAGACATCGCAACCCCACTCTCACTGTGTTTTCATAGCATCTACTGAAATTTTTTAAGTGTTTTGAATTTTATTTTGCAAACAGTTACAATAACATGATTTCATCAAAAATGTATTAATCATCAAAAGAAATATTATTACATTACCAGCATTAAAATTCCTTCAGTGAGTCCTTCATTGTCGGATCAATTCAGTCTGATTCGTGAACACAGGAGAACGATTCGGTCACGACTCACGAATCAGACATCACAACACTCACTGATTTTACAAGCACCAACTGCACTTTTAAAATTAATTTTTCTTATTTTAATTTACAATTCAATTACAATAAAGATATCTTTTAATGAAACCTTTATTACTCATCAAATGAGATACTTCAAAACAGCTTTAAAATGTCAAATGACATCAGTCATGGGCAAGTCAAGGAACACAGTACAGTAGGCTGCCAATCCAGACAAAAACACCATTCAGATTCTGGTTTCTTCTTCTAGTTGATTAAACCACTAATCATCAATAATCATAAATTCAATTAAATAAAGTTTTACATTTTAAAAACATCAACAAAGATGGAAAAGATGATCTGAGTGTTGATAGCTGCATACAAAGCATTCATATATAGGCATGTGGTATTATGAATAGAGCTTGGTGGAGTGTTGTCAGTTCTCTTCATCGTAGCCAACAAGCTTTGCACTTATTTCCCACAATCGCAGGGCAGCGAGATCATCTTTACCTTCAGGAGCTGGTTCCTTCAGCTTACAATCACTGTAAACAGATCTCATTGTCATTCAGTGTCAAGAATAAACATATTAGAAAAGGTTAAATATTTAGACAAATTTAAATACAAACCCATCATGGTGAAAAATATATTAATATTAACAGCTCACCTGAAATAGCAGCCACTGTGAGACTCCAGCCCCTCAGCAACCGCACAGTAAATAGAAGTCTGAGCGCCTTGACTGGGGGTTTTCATCAGTAAGAGAGCAGGAAAAGACAACAGAGCACTGAGCAGAGGGTGGCGTGTCTGCACGTAACGTCCCAGTTCAGTGCAGATTACTCCAGGGTGAAGAGAGTACACTGTTACACCAGACCCTGATTTAAAATAGAGCAGGAATAAACAAGCCTAATGCAATATTCAGTTGTAAAACAGTTTTTAAAGCATTTTCTATGTTTGAATGTGACTGATGCATTGGGAATGAGTGCACAAACCTTTAATCCTCCGTGCTAATTCTCGAGTAAACAGCAGGTTGGCAAGTTTGCTCTGCCTGTAACTGACCAAGGAATCGTACGGTGCTTTGTTGAAGTTAAGGTCATCAAAGTGGATCTTACCTGCAAAAGGTCATCGGACTGAAATATGTCACATGGATATGAAAGTCTCATTTGCAAAATTAATAATACTGTAATCTCAAAATGTATATACATTTTTCACATGTACAGTACATAATTTTGTTATGCGTAAATTACCTTTTTCAGCATTAAAATTCACTAAATTCAATAAATTTAGCATTTAAAATGACTCGGTTGTATTGTTTTATTTTTTATTTATTTAGACAAATATAGAACTTTAATATCAGACTCGTATTGCTGATTGGCCATAATTGTTAAAATATTTACTGTCTTAACAGTATCGTCAATGATTTCATAATTTCTGCTAACATTCCTGATATACACAAGATTAAATATGGATATTTTCTGGTATATTTTGTTTATCACATGTACAACAAATGTTTTATGGAAAGCCTCGCAACTAAAAGATGTGAAGCTAAGATGTTAATGGGTGGGTTTTACCTCCTTTGTGAGCAATACTGGATACATTAATAATTCGACTAGGACTAGACTTCTTCAACACGTCCAGGAGCAGGACAGTCAGGAGGAAATGGCCCAAATGATTGATAGCAAACTGGGTTTCATAGTCATCCTCTGTAAGGCTTTTAGGGCACATCATCACTCCTAAAGGGTTTGTTCACACAAAATGTGCAACAAGTAACAATACAGGTTAAAGCACGGTGTTATTTGTTGCTTAACTAATAATGAGGTCAAAGGTCCCACCAGCATTGTTAATAAGTATATCCAGTCGATCCTCAGTGGCAGTGTATTCATGCACAAACTGCTGCACGGAGAGCAGAGATGAGAGGTTTAAGTGCCGAACTACTATGTTGCCATTTCCTGTAGATCGGCGAATCTCTGCCGCAGCCTTTTCTGCTTTTGAAAGATCTCGACAAGCCATCACAACCCGAGCCCCTAAAAAAAACAGATGCTATTGTCCATCAGTTTATGATGCAAAGTGCACCTTATATCCCTAAAATCCTCCAAAATCTAGACCTTTCAGTGGTTTTGTAAGGATAAAATGACAAAACATTTCAACAGTGTGTTTACCTCTCATGGCCAGGTCACGTGCTGTCTCTTTTCCAATGCCAGTGTTGGCACCAGTAATGATGACTGTCTTCCCATCCAGTCGCACACGACAGCGGCAAACTCCACTTGCAATCCATTTTCTCAGCAGAACCAAACCTGTTTTTGAAGGTCTATTATAAGCCACATTCTTTCATTCAAGTCCCAGGGAATTCTACACGTTGTAAATGTGGTCTACAAAGATTCTGAAAATATGAAAAAGTGCTTTTGGTTTAGATCTGGCATGGAAGCACTGCTGAAGAGTTGGCTCACTGCCCTTATCAAATCCATAAGGTCCATAATACAAAGCCATTTTTGAAAAATTTATTTTTAAATGTATTGCTGTAAATGTGTACATTTGCTGTGTAAACACCATGCAAGTCGAACAAATATCCGAATATATATGGATTTGATATTACTGTGCAATGGAAAAAAATATGATCACAGCTTCTGAATTCTATTAGATTCCTCAAAAAATTTACCAAATCCCTTAAGCTATGTTAAATACCTTTTGAGCCACAGCATTGTACATTCAGCACAATAGCTCTGTATTATTATATTCTACAATATATGGAAGAAACTTATTAGTTTATAACTGACTGAAATGTTATTTTAGCCCACCGACAGTTAGAATGAGAGGAAATGACATTACGCAACTTACTAATAGCTGTGACCGCAGTTACTGTGCCGTATTTGGCGAGACGATTTGACTTCAGTTCCTCCCACAGTTGAGTTACTTGAATAGAGAGATACATGTCATCCACTGTGATGTGCTGTCAGCTCTGCTTTCATTTTATTTTCTGTCATACAGTAACTCTTTTCTTTGCTTACAAAAATCTGTACGGCTACCGTCAAGCTCAGTGCCGGCTAACACATCTAAGCACCCTGCATTTAAGGCTGGGTCAAGGTTTTATAAGAAGATTAAGTCAAGATCATGTTAGATTCCATGGCTTACGCTCAGACAGAAATGTGAATAACAAAAACAGTGATCTAAACAAATTCTGCTTTTCAAACAGAAAACTGTAACAAGAGATTTTCGTTAGATGCAAAAAAGTTTCTTGGATTTAAGATTTACTTCATTTGTGCAGTTTGAGGTATTTGAAAACAGCTCCTGATCTTTTAAGCTATAAAAAGCTTTTTGGGGTATGGGTCATGTCATCTTCCCTCCTATGGCCTTATTCATTAGTTTGGCACTATTTTGATGATTTTATTAGGTTATAGCGCCCAAAATCAGAAATATGGGGATGTTTGGATATGACAAATTAGACAAAAATCAGTCAGGGTTGCATATATTTTAAACTGCGCTTTCTCTTAATCTATTGTTATAACCATATGAGTTTGTAAACAAGACACAACCTACTTTTAAAAAAAAAAAAATTTATTTGAGTACCAGGCTAAAATAGGTTGCAGTTTATCCAATGACTATTGCAAGATAGGCTAATTGGACATTCTTTCCCTTTGAATTTTACTATGGGTTTTAATGAATATTTTTGATATATGGCCTGTGATTTAAATTAGTGCAAGAGACATTTTTTTCTACACTTAGTCTTAAAAATTAAAGTTCCAAAAGGGGGTTTCGCCGAGATGCCACAAAAACCATTTTGGACTTCCCAAAGAACCTTTTAGTGAAGAGATCTTAAAACTCTTTTTTTTCTTCTTTTCTTCATGTGAAGAACATTTTAATAATCTAAAGAACCCTTTTCCACTAAAGAACCTTTTGTGCAATGGAAAGGTTCCATGGATGATAAATGAACCATAGATCCATGGAACCATAGATGCCCATAAATAACTTTGTGAACATAAAATAGGCTACACAGTCAAACAATAAAGGTGAATTTTGAAGATGCTTTTTTTTTTAAACAAAGTGCTAACAAATTGTCACAATTTAAAAACGCAGCTGCTTCATGCCTAAGGTTTTAAGGTATGAATTTTGAACAAAACAGATCTTATTTAAGTTGTTTTTAAATTTAAACTATGGTTCTAAGAAATGGAAAAGAAAACAGGAAAATCTCGAGGGGAAGCCATTGCTCTGAAATCCAACTTCTGTTCTTGGTTTTAAGAGTATAAACTGAACGACTCTATAAAACATGAGGGGCTTCTTTCTTTGTTGCTACTTATAAACGTTGTAACAATAATTGAACAAAACACCAATTCGTTCTATAAAAATCCCAAAACTGTGTTGGTGTTGTTGGAGAAACATACTCGTTTTAATATGAAAGAGTTGGTGTTTCAATCGAGGAATATTTAGATAGAACCATTTAATATCTTATGTGAGTAATGCATTCCTGACTTCTAAACATCAGGCGCCATCTTAGAATTAGTGAAGGCAAAGAGTGAAGCCTATTACGAAAAGAAAACGTTTATGCAGGCGATGTTAGTTATGGCGCGAGACTAGCATACATTGACTAAAAAAGTCAACGTTTTCCTTTCGATGATCGAGTTGTGAGTTTGTGTCGTTAACTCTGCAGTGGTAATGTTGGATCATTAGCCTACACTATTTAGCCGGCTAAGCTAGTGAGTGTGTATCCTGTTTAGTGCAGATAAACTGCCGTTATAAAACAACCAAATCAGTGCAGCAGATAGCACGACAAATGCTCGAAAATGTGAAAAAATTCGTAATGTTGATATTTACTGTAAATGGTAATTAGCTTCGATAAAACGACATTATAACATTTTTGCTTATTATTGGAAGTGATACTGCAGGCACCTTTTCATATCATTATATGCGTGTATTGTAGCAACGACTCTTCGCTAGAATAGACATTAACTATTGTATTCGCTTTTTTATTAAATAATTAATAAAAAATCACGATCAACCCGCCTTTCTCACAAATATCGCAACCAATCAGCGTGCAGGGAAACGCTCGTGGAAGTGACGTTTTTAAATGTTTCGCCTACCACCGCGAGCATCGAGGGAAAAACGTCTGCAGAACAGGGATCGTTGTTTTTCCATCATGGCAAAGCCCGCGAAGAATTAAAGGACATAACGCATTGTAAATTTGCATAATATCTTGCGCATATGCAAAACCGTGCACGAGGTAAGAGTCTCCCTTCTTCTCTTTGGAAGCAGCGCGTCGTTGTTTGTAAAGAAGTTGTTAAAAGTTGTTCAGTCAGGTAAACGCTAGCCCCTGTAGCTATGCATTCACTGCTGCACGGGGTCGCGCATGAGTGCAGTTAGCAGAGCGTGCTAACGCTAGCCTCGCGCGCGCTCTACGGGAGGATCGCGTGCGTGCGTCTAATATGGCGTTAAAGGGACTCGTGTTTATTTTGACAGGATGTCGATACTGAGTCAAGGAATCGGTTTAGCGGCTGATCCATGTCACTTTCTGCCAAAGTATGACAGAAAGTAAACAAATATTTAAATTTTTTATAACTTTGAGTAGAGCAGACACAAAACAAGTACTGACAACTAAAATAATTAATATTTACGTGCACATTTCCCCTGCTTTCCACTATAACATTAGTACATTTGCTTTTTTGTAGTAATAACTTATTATTGCTACAAAATAATAATATGTTATTATATCATAAATATATGTATATTAGAATATAGAGTTAGATTATGATTAGAAGCTGTACAAAAATATTCATATTGTCATGTTAACTAATAATAATAACAACAATTATTATTATTATTGTCACTTTATAGCTGTCAAATAGATTGTCATTATATGTTCAGCCACAAACATTACTAGTCTTGTTGACAGGAGTGATGACACTGTATAAGCATCAATCTTTGTTTACAGAAACATGGCAGAATCAGACCTTTACATGCAATGTGATGAAGATGATCTGGAGCCATGCCAGAGTTTTACAGAAAACCGGGACCAGATATATAACAAAGGTAATTAAGTTTTTTAGTTTGTTTTACTATAAGTAAAAACTACTCTTTATTATGTATTGTTTAAATGTATGTGGTCTAGAAGGCTTTGAAGTGTTTTATGAATATCATTTAATCATATATTCAGAAAATGAGTGTAAATACAAATAAAAGTGTTTTGCCTTTTGTTCATTTATTCATTTACTTAGTTACTGTACTCCCAAGTGGCAATAGTGCACTGATACCAATACAGTCTGATGGCACCTCTGAACCAACATCAGCTACTACTGACCTCGCAAATCAAGCTGTGCCTTTGGCGTCTGGTAAGAAGAAAACAAGCATGCTTCTAAAAAAATATTCCAAAGCCTGGTAGAACTGGCTTTCTAATTAGAGGCTTACAACTTCCGTTCCATGTACTGACACCTAATGGTCATTAGTTTGTGATTAGAAACACTGAAAAAGCACTGTAAAAAGAATAGCTGTGGGGCTTCAGTGTGGAAATAAACAACCAAGTGTTTTGTTTTTACCTCTAGCTCCCGCTGTTACGTTACTGCCTAATGCTGCCCAACCAGCTGGAGCTGCAGGTGGCCAAACCATCTTCATCAGTGCACAGGTTTTAGTTTTCTCTTTTACTGTCAATAAGGCATTTAAGCTTCTGTTTACATATTGAAACTAGACATGTTGTATTTAAATGATGGTCATCTGTTTTAGCCTAATCCAGGGCAGCCGTTGGCAGGTTCAATGAGTTTGGGAACATCACTTGGTTACCTTTTGAATGGACAACCTATTAGTTTTCTGACTTCTGGTAAGTCTTAACTCAAACCAGTGATTTTATTTCACTGTTACTTTCAGACACATTTTGCGGGATGCATAGCTGGCATGAAATGATCATTTAAATGTTATATATCATATGGTGAACAATTCATCCATGCATATGTTTAATTCTTTTGACCTCAATGTTTAATTTAAAAAAAGTACAATACACACACTTCTCTGGTGACGTATGCCTGACTTAAACCACACTCCTCACATTTCAACATTCAACAAGCAGTGTGAATGTTCTTGCATCAGACTTATAAAATAAATAACTATGTAAAGTGTTCAAGAGTCTACAGTATTCCAGAAATCTGTTGCCAGGCATTTAGTTTTCTTTTTTTATTCCTCTGCTGCTCAAAAACAGTACTTATTTTGCTGAAATAGTTTTGTCTGTCCTTATCAGCTCAGACACCACAGTTAATTGCTCCTCGGATGGTTACCCCAGCGAGTTCAGTACAGCAAACAACCCCTGGAAAAATGTCTGCATTGCAGATCCCAGTCACTTTGACCATCAGCAACCCCTCAAATTTACAAAGCATCACTTCAGCAGCCCCTGGAGTGACCACTCTAAACATGACACCCTCCAACGTCCTACCAGCCGCAAATCCAGGTGACAATTTATGCAGTTGATACTTCAGATTTTACAACTGAAACATTTTAGATGATTTAACCCTATGTTTATTTTGTTATTTTATTAGGAGCAACAATAAAAGTAATAAAGTTTACAAAGTTTACTGGAGCACCTGCAGCTGCTGGTCAAGTAGTGAGTTCATTAGTGCAGCCAAACAAAGCCGTCACCATCCAAAACAATATAACAAACAGAGCTCCAGCCCCGCTCCTGTCTGGTGGGCTTTTTCAGGTCACAAAACCTGCTCCTGCCACAGCAACTAACGGTCAGGACCTTTTTCTAATAAAACACAGATTTTTCAGATCTCATTTTTAGTTGCAATACTGAGTGTTGTTATTGTTTTAAATATGGACTGTTTATTGATTTAAATATTACTGATTGACATCTTTTAGGTGTTTAAGTGGATTGTTCACCCAAAAATGAAAATTGTCATCATTTGAATGAACTGAATCCATACGAATTGAGCTTTACTTAAAGTGGTCAAATGATGCTTTTTTAAAGATCATTATTTTGTGTATTTGGTGTAACAGAATATGTTGACATGCTTTAATGTTCAAAAAACACATTATTTTTCAAATACTGTACATTATTGTATGAGGATTTTGGCTCATCTGTACTTTGCCATGCAAGAATAAACCTCATTGGTCAATCAAGCATGTTTGAGCTTCCACTTACCATATTTAATGAGCTCTATGTATGTGTGTTGATCAAAGTTTACATGTGAATAAAAGAGATTCATTATAAAAAGAGATTGTGTCTTTTCAGAAGACTTGAATTTCTTTTACATTCTCTTTATGAACTTTTTAAATTGTAAAATTTCAGTGGACATTCTATGGAGGTACAGGAGTCTCTCAGGTTTTTTCATTTGCATTTTGATGATGACCAGAAGTCATATGGATTTGTAGAGATAATGATGACAGAATTTTTATTTTTGTGCGATCTATCCTATGAAGAGGTCTTTGAGAAGGAATTGAGAAGAGTATCTTTGTTTTACAGCATTGAAGAGAGGCTTCAATTCATCAAAATTCTGTGTTCGCTGTAAAGCCTTTTACCAAAAGATTCAGTCCCTGCGTGGATACTACTGTGTAAGTTTTTATTCATACCCTTTTGAGATGAAATGCCTATGAACAATGCTTTAAAGCAGGGGTTTAAAACCATTTTTGGTTTAGAACCTCTGCTGTGGTAAATATTTAAACCTTTCGCCAAGGTCTTTACTCATGTTCCTTTATCTTGTTCCCCATTTTCCAGCAATGTAATCAAGAACTTATCAAGAGTGTCCGGGACTTGACAGCCCAAGCTAGAAAAAGGATCAAGCGCCCGAGTGACAAAACCCACTCAAACCCCTCCACATCCAAGACTCCAGTTTCCTTCTCCACATCCTCAGAAACATCTCTCAGACAAGTCACCACTTCTGAGATACCTGAAGGAGCGCCTAGTCCTCGCTCTGGGGATTTTGATGAGCAGGGCAGAATGATTATGTTAGTTGAAGACTTCTTCTATGGGCAGCACCCTGGCCAGCCTGCACCAGTAAGTCCCAATGCAGAGCCTGTCATGATTAAATGCCAACTTTGTGACAAGAAGGTGAAGGGCAACATCAAGTAAGTTGGTTTTCAGTTTGTTTTTTGAGGAGAGTTGTTGGTATCGATAGATTTTTCATCCTTTAACCCTCATTTTAAAGGCTGATGAACCACACAATACATCACATGGAGTTGGAGCGACAAACAGGGGAAGTAGACTATCATACTATGTGCCAGCACTGCTACAGAAACTTCTCGACACCTTTCCGTCTGCAGTGCCATGTTGAGACGGTCCATAACAAAGCAGAGTCCTCAAGTGAGTCTATACTCCTAGATTGATACGTCCTTAAAATATTTTAATATGTTTGAGAACTAGGTTTTGAACCTTTACAGTTATTAATATTTGACTGCAGGTAATTTAGTGTCAACTTTTAACATTTCATTCTGTTATACAGAAGTGTGCAAGATCTGTGAGTGGTCCTTTGAGGACGAACCTCTCTTTCTGAACCACATGAAACATGCACACAAGCCGGGCGAGATGCCCTACATGTGTCAGGTGACTGATTTTGTGTATTCTGGCTTTATGTCTTTCCTCTCAGCAACAACTGTTTTGTCTTGAAAATGTTTGTGTAAATCAATTACTCTTGTGTACCTCAGGTGTGCGAGTTCCGCTCTTCTTTCTACGAAGATGTCATAAGCCACTTTGCAGAGCAGCACAAGAACACCTGCATCTTATTGTGTCCCTTTTGCTTAAAAGTATTTAAGTCTTGCGGCGGCTTCCAAATGCACTTCACAAGACATCAGGTAAAAAAGTGCTTACCACTACAACAGGCTTTTATTGTAGATAACAAGTGTTGAGATATTAAATAATTATTCATATGGAAAGACTTTTCAGATCCTAAACTGCTTTCCTATGATTAGACTTAGGAATATCATATATTGATTGTCTGCTGATTTATTGATTATTGATATAAGAGATCATTTTTCTTATAAATGTTAATATTGGCTGATGTGTCAGAAAGCTCCTGTTAAGGTATGTGTTTGTGCATCCAGAAAAAAACAGCGAGGCACTGTGACAAGTGCAGACTTCAGTTCATCCGTGAGAAGGACGAGTGGCAACACAGACAAAAGTTTCACAGGACCTTTGTCAAGCCCAAGCAATTGGAGGGTCTTGTGCCTGGCACTAGGGTTAGTTTGTTTTTAACTCCCAGTCACAGATGCCATGTCACTTAATGTTAATACCGCTACTGATTTATTGCTTATTAACTGCATGTTTGATAGCATTACCATTTTCCATGTCTGTTTCAGGTAACCATCCGAGCTTATTCTGACAGTACTGACAACAGAGATAATTTAGTAGCACCTCCACTGAAGACTCCCTCAAACACCACATCAACACTTGTAGCATCTCAAAATGTCCCATTGAAGAAAAAACCAGTGGAAAGCATGGTGGAGCTAATGGTCAAGTTTCAGAGTCAGTGGTGAGTATTTGCTCGCTCTATCTATTAGGGGTGTAACCGTACACGTATTTGTACCGTACGGTTCACGGGGCAAATTCCAAATGGAAGTGATCATCCCTATGCCTTTGAAGGGCAGAGCCCTTGGAGTGGGGACTTTGGAGTGAGCAGGGCACGTGCGTGCCATTATGTAGTCGTTTGGAATGCACTTGGCAAAGGGAGCGAAGTAATTTCCTCATTATCTTCAGCTGGGATGTTCCCATGACAATGCAGCACGGTGTCCGTCAGCAGATTCGCTGATGGACACCGGCATAAAAAATATACATTTTATATTTTAAAAAGTTTTATATATATATTAGTTTTTATAGATGGACACCGTGCTGCGTTGTCACGGGAACATCCCAGCTGAAGATAGTGTGGAAATTACTTCGCTCCCTTTGCCAAGTGCATTTCAAATTACTACATAATGGCACGCACATGCCCTGCTCACTCCAAAGTCCCCACTCCAAGGGCTCTGCCCTTCAAAGGCATAGGGATGATCACTTCCATTTGGAATTTGCCCCGTGAACCGTACGGTACGAATACGTGTACCGTTACACATATATCTATCTATCTATCTATCTCATTTGAATTGCTTTTAATTTACTTTCGTTTGAAAACAAAGTGCAGATCAGACTTTCGTAAAGATATTTATAGATTTTTATCTTCTGAGAAATGGCTATCATCTTGTTCTTCCAGCAAGCCAACAGAAAAACACTTCTGCATGGAATGCAACTATGACATTCCGTATTTTTCCAACCATTTCCCCACCTATGTGAGCTGTTCCCTCTGCCGATACAACACCTGCTGTTCTAGAGCATATGCCAATCACATGATCAGTGAACATGTTCCTCGCAAAAGCACAAAAAAATATATTACCCTATACAAACCCTGCCCAAAGTAAGATTTTTTTCTCTTCTTTTGGTATGCTTGTAATGTTACTTTTATTGTCAATAATGATAATTAAAATGTTTGCAGGAAGGGGCTGTTAAGCTGTACCACATGTAGATACAAAACTCATGTTGGGGATTTGATGGCCAAACATCTTGCTGATTATCCTAAACATCAAGCAAGCCATTGCACCACACGGGGTAAGTTGGTTATTTCTGTCTAAAAAAAAATTTGACAAAGAAAACTCAAGCTTTTAATAATGATCCTATAACAATCAAGTTATTAATAATATTCCTTATGTTTCAGAAGGATTTTCACTTGGCTATAAAAGGTACGTTGATTCAATTTGTTTTAAGTTTTAAAAGGATAGTTCACATAAAAATGATTATCTGTCATCATTTACCATCCCTCATGTTATTTCAAACCTGTATGACTTTCTTTTGTGGAACATAAGGGGCTTTCACACCGGAGGAACCTTTTCATAGTTCCTAGAACTATTGGCAGAAGTACCCGTTTTTTGGCATGTTCGCACTGCAGGAACTAGGAACGTATTTAGTTCTAGTTAACTCCGTTTGGGGGATCTAATTTAGATCCTACTTTAGAGTAGGGTCTAAAACGGGGAGGAACTATTAGTGACGCAAGTGTGCGCTGATTGGTCAGACGCATACGAAACACCGGCTACCCGGCATTTTTAAAAAGCTGTATAAAAATAATTACTCCACGAACATGGAAAACAGCGACAATGGCATTTAGCTACCTGTTGTCTGCAGCGTTGTATTCTTTTCTCAGCCTCGATGATATGTAACAATGCAAGTTGTCATAGGAGATTTAGTCAGATTTCTTTGTACGTTTACATTCCATCTTCGTTATCACGAAACCCACGACACAACAAAAACAGCTCCGATCATGGCATCCTCCATTCACCAGTTGTTGGCGTTTGTAAATGACATGAATAAAGATGTCACTGTCAGATGCTTCTGAGTTCGGTCCGAGGGAGAAATTGGTTCTCTAGGAACCACCATGCTGGCTAGTTCCTAGAATTCAGTTCCTAGAACTACGCAGTGTGAAAGCCTTTACACAAAAAGATTTTCTGAAATACGTCTCAGGTTTTTTTGCCCATGTAATGAAAGTCAATGGAATTGAAGTTGCTAGACATTTAACTTTCAGTTTAGCAGAAGAGGTAACTTATGAATTACTGTCATTATAGATTTGTCTTCATCCCAACGGACCTTCTTCAAGGAGGTCAAAGACTCAACAACGGGGTCTTTTTGCCTTTGCAAGTGGACGGGAGCTCATTTCCTCTCTCCTCCAACCCCCTTCCTCGATCCAGCTACACAATAATGCTCCCTGCTAGCACACCGTCACTTCCCATTCTGGTTCAGCCAATTGAACCAAGTGCTGTCCCAGACAAAAAATGTAAAGCCAATACAGATGCTTTGAATGGAGGGCTTTCCGAAGTTGATACAGAACATACAGCAGAAAACTCGTTTACCATGGCACAGCTGAAAGTCATACTGTACGCACTCTGCTGCGGGGTCCCTCAGGCCGCCAATCACTTCGACACTCCACCGGAAGAAGTCCAGTCATTGCTTATGAAACGGCAACTTCAGCTTGATCCCTCGAGAAGCCGAGAAGGTTTGACATCACAGGTGGCTGATAGCTTAGTCGAATGGGTGCTATGCCAACGTGAGCAACAACTGCCTATCGATGAATCTAACCTGTTCGGGTTCATGAGAAGTCATGGTGTGCAAGATATCTCTTACGACTCGATGGTTGATTTCTTGCTACGCCACGATCTGGGCTTGCAAGCGTTTGCCACATCCAGCAAGTTGCTACCGTATAAATCCCAGGAGCTCGAGAGCTCCTTCAGCAGCTTTCTAAAAAAGCAAGTGACCTCAAAATCCTTTAGGTTGTCTTCTATTTGTGCCATGGATGAGCTTTCCATCTTTGTAGATATGGAGCAGCTGGATGAAGCCTCTGCAGATTCGTCGTCCATGTTGTCTGCTTTTAAGTTGATGGGCACCACAGATCCACTCATAGATATTGTGTTCACAGCCCTGGCTGACGGGACCTCATTATCTACCATGGTTTTCCTCAGAGGCGAACCTCTCAAGGAGGATGCAAGTTCATTGCCAGACTACTTCATCCTGGAGGCTAGGCCAGAAGGGTTCACAGATGAAGAAAGACTTAAGCTTTGGTTGGACAAAGTGTGGTGTCGGCACATCAACCCTAGTTCTGGAGGCAAAGGATTGCTGATAATGGACACATACAAAGGCCACATGTCCAATGAATTCTTGGTGACGCTCAACAGTGTTAATACTCTTCCAGGCCTGATCCCACGCAGTTGCTCTCGCCGTCTACAGCCCCTTGAAGCCTGTATGGGGCCGGTGTTACGCGAGTTTATGCAGGCTCGCTGGAGCGAGCATGTGACAAAAGCGCCACAAGAACTGGTTGGAGCCAAACCAGCTGGCCTTGCCCTTCTGCTGTCTCGCTGGCTTATTGAGGTACTTGATGTCCTTATAGCAGAGCCCAAACTACTTTTTCGCTCTTTTGATCGGGTTTGGAGCACAAACCCAGAGGCGACATCTGAGGAACCCTCTGAGCTGGTGCAAAGTCTTACTGAAGCTCTGCTTGTCAGTAAATTGCAAGGAGACAAAGTTGAGGAGCAGAAAGCGGAGACTTCTAGTATGGTTTCTGCAGAATCTTGGTCCTCTCCACAATCAGGCATGCTTGCGTTAAGAAGTCTCTTTGAGAAGGACAGCGATGTGGAGTCTTTCCATGGTTTTGAGGATTCAGAAATTATAGATCATTAAGTCAAATGGAATAGCATTGTCGGCTCTACAGGTCAAGAACATTTTTAAAATCTGCAAGTGTTTTGTGTGCGCCCCCTTCCACCAAGATTTCATGTTTCGAGAATAAAATGAACTGCTCAACTTAAGTGTCTATGAAAATGAGTTACGTAAATGCAGGTTATTGCTAGCATGTGTAAATATTTGTTGTATCAATGGGTGTTAAAGATCCCTAGTGTGAAGTCCTGCGTAGTCATGGCTTCTATTGTTCATTGAATTACAAAGGTCCAACGTGTTACACATTGTGGTTTAGCTTATCACTTAATGCCTTTTCATCAGATTTGATCTGTTGTCATAATGTGCATAAATGTAAATAGAAATTATTTGAAATCATTACCTGTTGTATTTAGGATTATACTGTAACATACTTGATTACATAATGAATAAACACTTTTAGGGATGTAATGTAAGCAGTGTGTTTTTTCTTTAAGAACAATCATGTGTTGTCTTTTAATGTGGTAGAATGTGACATTTTTATTCACAGAAACATTTTTTTACCTCACCAGGGATTTGGGGATTTTTTTTAATGCTGGTTTAGTTGAACCAGTATTTCAGTGCATTTTTACTCTGTGTTTTCATTGGCCCCACCATAAAATAAAATTTTAGCCATGCATTTCTATGTTTGCAAAACATGTAGATATTTCATTAAATTACAGGTTTCCTTTACAAATCATGGTTACATATATATTTTTTGGGGGAAACCCCCTAATGAACAAGTTGGAAAACTGTCAATAATGTAACTCCATTCATTTATAAACACCCTTGGTGGAAAACTTGCATATGAATTTTTGATTTACTGACCAATTATAGAAGAACAATGAGCACATGGCAAACAATTTTATGAAGTTTATTTATGTATAACAAAAGAGCAAGAAACAATTCTAACTGTAGTCTTGACAATACAATAGTGATCTGGTGGTGCTAAGAGCATGTCCAAAGATGATGTGGCAAAACGGGCAGCAGAACAAGACTCATTCAAAACCACTGCAATAAAAACAAACATCAGTTTAGGTCAATACAATGAATCAGCAATCATGATTTAACTCAATTTAACTATGCACTCCACTGGTACGTATATCCAACAACCTTGCACAGCACTAAATACATTACCATTCAAAAGTTTGAGGTCAGGAACTTTTTTTCTTTTTAAATTTTTTGATACTTCTGTTGAGCAAAGACACATTCATTTGAATTGAAAGTGACAGTAAAGACATTCATAAATAATGTTCTTATGAACTTTAGATTCATCAAAGTATCCTGAAAAATATGTATGACGGTTTCCACACAAATATTAATCAGCATAAATGTCTTCAACATTGATCATAATAAGAAAGGTTTCTTGAGCACTAAATCAATATATTAGAATTATTTCTTAAGGATCATGTGACAATGAAGACTGCGGTAATGATTGCTGAAAATTCAGCTTTGCCATCACAGGAATAGATGACATTTTTAAATAGAAAAAATAAATAAATTATAAAGAAATATTTCACAAGTTTTACTGTCATTTTCAATAAAAACAAATCTTGTACACCTGCACTTTCAATAAAATTAAAAAAGCCTTACCAACACCCACGTTTCCAAACAGAAGTGTAGATTATACTAATCCCATAAAATGTCTATTAAACCATAAATGGTGAGAAAATATTTCGATGAATCGTGAATTTCAGCCTACCTGACCAGATGGGCAATGTCCCAGTTTGTTTCAGATGACAGTGGTCCTATAATCTCAACTCCTTCAGCTGTTACAATGGCGATTTCATGCTACAGGAAGTCCCAAGAAAATTAATTATTTTCTGTTTCTTAAAACACATTTACAATGAAATGTTGCACCTGAGATAAGGATCTTTTCATGAAAGACAAATAGAAGAAAGCATGCCTTACCCTGTTGTAGGAACGGGCATCACGGTAGTACAGAACTTTCAGGCATCGCTCTATCAGCGCTCGTGCCTCATCCTTTGTGATTTCTACCTTGTTCTCCGTCACCTCCCTCATCAAGGGCTTATATAAAAACACAAGCATATATGATGAGTTCATAAGGCTTTTAACTACATTTTAAAAGCAAGATTATCTGATGAACAAAAAAGAAAACCTTACCTGAGCCAAATAAGCACCAAATCCTGTTGCTACTGTTGGGGCTTCATATGCAACTCCTAACTTGTCCACATAACCAAGAAAGCTTAAGAGAGCGACACAAAAAAAACTGTTCAATTCAATTTAAATAACAGCAGACAACTCCAAGTCATCGAGTCACAAAACTGACCTCACTTTCTATATAACTGTAAGTGATACACATCACAGAATAGTAATTGTCGTAAACTGAACAAAAACTCACAGGTGAATAACTGAAATTATTCAACAAATAAATAATAATGAATCGTACAACTACTATAAGTATATATTACATAGATACATACAGTACACTTATGTTAAGTGCTACACAATATAGAATTGTTACAATATAGAATACAGTCTAGAAAATCAACTGTTTAAATGTTTATTGTCAAAAATATAAACTATAAACATTCTGTAAATAAAGTAAAATAAATACATACAATACACTCATGTAAAGTGATACATACTATATAGAAAATATCAACTGCCTGTTTTTTCATCACAAAATATAACAGTATTACCACCCAGCTCTATGTATACTGTTATTACTATATAGCAAAATGTAAACTACAGTATCACCCAGCTCTAATCTGCTAAATGTGACTATTAGACATGAAGATATTAAGATATTATTATAAACATTAACACCATGAAAAAATATGTGTATTGTGAAAAGCAAATAAATGTGACTTTAAAATGACACTAGGCCTAACAGTAATTCAAAGAAAAATAATGCTCTTTATAATGTTTCATCAAAATGTAATAATTTGCACATTGTAAATTCACCTCTTAACAAACTTAGTCACCAATATCTTTTAATTTTTCAACCTGTTATTTGAGAGTGATTCCCATTAGATAAAATCAAGTCTCTCTCTCCCTCTCTGTTTCACCGATTACAAAAAAAAATTGGATTGTGAATTTTCTTTAAAATTGACTTTCATTCAAACGCAAATCATCTACTTTGTACACTCAACAGTAGTTGTCTGGACACTATCCCACCTCTCTCCATTGTAAAATCCACCAATGACCACTGTGTTCCACAAGGGGTTCATCTTGCTGCGGCGGTTATACATGACCCGCGTGAGCCAGGAGTGGATGGCTTTAGGGGTGTAGCTGTGTCCATCTCCAAGAAGCTCTTCATCAATCCTAAACAAACACAGATCACGTGCTACCTATTAACGTACACTGATGTGAGGTCTCAAACCTGACAAAGTATTCAACCGAACCATAAACAAATGTGTGTGTACTTACACCATCTGCTCAATGACCTGCTTAAGGTACTGGTAGTCAGCATAGTCTCCCGAGGCTCCCAGGATGGTGCTGTTGTTGACCTTCATGAGTCGGGAGATGTTGCGGAAGCGCGCCAGGGAGCCATAAGAGCCGAGCATGTCAGCAGCAATGATCACACCTCCAGTGAACTTCACACCCAGCACTGATGTGCCCGTTACCATGGGGTTGCTGAGAAACATTAGACATTATAAATTAATAAAAGACAAATTGAATGTAAATATGCATTTAACACTACCGTTCAAAGGTCTGAGGTCTGTAAGATTTTTCAAGTCTCTTATGCTCACCAAGGCTGCATGTATTTGATCAAAAATGCAGATTTCTATTTATTAATTGGCCGTATAGATTTTTATATTGTATTTTTATTTTTATTATTGTCTTTATTAGTCTCATGTATGTCCACAATTATGCCAAGACATATATATTGTACTTCGTATATACTTCCTCATATATATTGTACATAAATAAGTCTATTAAAACACTGGATTTGATATTTGCATATTCATTAGCTTTATTGCTAACAAGCTAACTTATCACTGGACCATTACACTCGTACTTTTTCACTAGATGAAGAGTGGAAAAAGAAAGAGATATAAATTACATTCAGAGTAACGTAAACATCTAACTAATCGAATATATTTTAAAATATATATCTGAGACAATTTTCCGGGGTAAACAGCAACTTTCCTCCATGATGATGCAGCAGAGAAAGGCAAATCGAAAGCACAAACTTACTGACTGCTAAGCACAAAACTGACAAGTCGTGATGAGCTTACAGTGTGTGTTTGATGGGTCCACATCCTGGAGCCGCACTACTGCTGCTGTTACCCGGGAATGAATAAAACTGACCGGGTTTCGGTCCGTTCTCCCAGAAATTCAGCTTCAGTCCATTCACCTCCATGTTCAAAATTGACGGAAATGACGCTACTGCTATGCGCTCCATGTAATGCGCGCTAGGCATTGTGGGATATTGGGCTGTGTTTATTTCTGTGGTCATTTCTTTAGATGTAGAATGTGTTCTGCTGAGAAAGTGATGTGTTTGAAGTTTATATGTAAAGCTAAATATAATAATCAAAAATATTAATCAATAAAAAAAACGATCAAATAAATATTTAGGCTACATGAGAAAAAATAAGCAGAATATAAAAAATTAGTTCAGAATAGAAATAGAACTGTTTAATTATTTTATTTGTTAACCTAAAACCTGGAAGATCTATTTTATTTATTGAGTAGTAAGTCAATGAGCTAACATTATGGTATATTACTACTCTACCACAAGAATTTGAGTTTACTGTTGTAGTCCTTATATATCTTAGATGTTATTGTACTCATAAATCCAAAGCCACTTCTCTAAAAACCCAAAGGAAATTAGATTTCTCTGTGAATTAGACTTCTTGGTTGGCCTACAACTCGATGTGACTGAACAGCTCTATAGATTAAGCTTCAGTTCACTGGGCAGGCCTCATAAAAATCCAATTAGGCCTACTTCTTAGTTAAAGAGTAAGAGAATGTTCAAAGGAAAAAGTGTCTGCTAAATGGCAGGTAACAAATGACCCTCCTTCAACAGGTAAGAGGTAGATGATGATGCTCTAGTTGACAGAAATAATACATGACTTTTTTATTTCTTAGAACTAACAGTTAAATTAATACTGATTCTAAAGTCACATCAAAAGAGGCAAATTTACATCTAATAAAATCGTTGAATGATCATGCTAACTTAAAGCCTTTCTGTTCATGGGGTGCCTGAAACCTTCCATGCCTCACACAGCATGTAAATAGTAAAATCCTGCTCAAAAAAACAAGCCCACCAGGACACTGAATTCCATTCACATCAGAAAGTGAAGGCCATTTGTATTAGCAGCTGAATAAACGCTGTAGCGAATCTTGGGAGTTATTGGCAAGACTAACAAATAAAAGTTAACTGGATACAGATGCTTTACATTTCATTTTGTTAATCAGCCACCTCATAATAGATAATGATGATAATTTTATACACATTGCATGTGAATATGGACCCCTAAATCAATTCCCCTTTTATTTAACAGATTAATTTAGATAATATTACAAAACTTTGGTTGCAGTTTTACTGTATTAGTACACATTAAAATTAAATGTTACCACAATATTACCACAAAAAATATAAGAACAGGAAGTGTGTGATCCATAGTGTGTTGCTGTGGAAATAACAGATGTAGTCAGAAGGTCGCCTACCTCACAACTGATGAATGTTGCTTAACATGATTTCTACAACCCTCTTGGATCTTACATTTCTTTCACACGGTTGCATGAACATGTACAGAACAACACATTATGTTGCTACAATGTAAATGTGTTTGTTGATTTCTGTCCAGCTCTTCTGCCACCCTGTGTCATGGTGAATAGTTTGTGTTAAAGCCTATTAACGGTTAGTAAGCAGTTGCTTTTAGTATTGCATTTTTATCACCACTCCTTACTGATATGTGACCCTGGACCATAAAGTCATAGCACAGGTATATTTGTAGCAATAGCCAACAATACATTGTATGGGTTAAAAATTATGAATTTTTCTTTTACACCATAAATCATTAGGATAAAAAGTAAAGTGTAGATAGTTTGTACATTTTCTAGCCTACTGTAAATATATCAAAATTTAATTTTTGATTAGTAATATATTAGCCTACTAATGTCATTTTTTATTACTAATTTATAATGCAGAAAAGCTGGTATTCACTGAAGACATATGAATAATGTCTGTATGCAGCATGTCCATTATAGGATGCTCATTATTAATTTTTCTTTTGTTGTTCTGTTGCAGCGTTTTTTTCTGTTTTTTTATTTAAAGGTTGTAATTCAAAAGTAGGCCTATCTGGCGTTTGAAATGAAAAGCTGACTTCTTTCTGTCTGAAAGCACGCTTTTGATTCTCCAAGTCACCATATCTCATTTCTTGTTTTCACCCGGAGGTTGTTTTTCCCGAGTAAGGTGGGTCGCGTGGGACTAATTTACAGAGAGCTTTGATCTTACAGTCTCATTATGCGCGTCGCGCGTCCCATTTAGACCAGCATTTCACCAGCCGCGGGTTTAATGCAAAACTCCAAACTAGTCAGCCATTTCACTCCAGACAATAGCGGAGAAACACTAAAGTTTGCTTTTTATTAACCTTTATATTCTTCGTGATTGCTGGTCCCACTCCAAAGATTGAACGCAACGCAGCAGTTCTCGGTCCATTCCAGACGATGTGGTTCTGCTCCAGCCTTTCTTGTTGTTTTGTTTCACGCGTTTGTAACAAGCGGAGCGTGAAACCGTACAGTCAAACCAGATCTGTCGCGATTCGTGGAAATATAGGCGCCTGGAAAGTGGACATCAACTCACTTTGACATTTTTTGGCTTTTAATTGTCTTTTTCTTTGTTTCTTGATCAGGATTTGTTTGAGCGTCTTTTTAAGCCACAAATATAATTTTAAGATGCTGTTGTAGACCAACAACGATAACAACAACACAATGGCACGTGCTGTGTAAACATTTGTTATTGATCTCCGTGCGCTTTCTTCAGGATATAAAACACATGATGGATTGAAAAATTATTTCTGGCATATATTCAGAAATCTACATTAATTTTGATCGTCACTGTACACTTGCTCACTGTATTTCGATGGAGGTGTGAAGACTCTCGAGACTTGTTTTTCCCAGGTCGGAAATGAATTTCGATCAACTGCTGGCCACAATCGGTGGCTTTGGGAGATATCAGAAGCTTCTGTATGTGTGGATATGTCTACCGCAGATCTTTCTCGCATTCCACATGATGGCGAGCGTCTTCACAGGCGCCACGCCACCCCACCATTGTTGGGGTTCAGGGATGGAGAACGCGTCCCTTACTCTCGGCAACCTTTCAAATGTGAATCTGAGCATCTCTCTTCTGCCAGGACATGCGGACTCGTGCACAGCAGTTTCAGGAAAGAACCACAGTACACACTCAACTTGTGAGACAGGATGGGTGTACAGCCACGAGATCTTCCAGAGCACCACTGTCACTGAGGTAAACGCGGGTCTGCATTCTTCAGAATAATTAAATGTTAAATAAAGGGGTACTATTATGCTTTTTCACTTTTTCAACTTTAGTTAGTCTGTAATGTTGCTGTTTGAGCATAAAAAAGATCTGCAAAGTTACAAAGCTCAAAGTGCACTTCAAAAGGAGATATTTTATTAAATAAAAAGTTTTTATTTCTTAAATGGGTACAACGAAATTGAATTTAACATAACAGGAATATGTAATAAAATAAACTATTTAGTTTAAGTAATTACATACAGTATAATAAAATAACATTTATAATCTATAATGTTACACAATCTAAAATATAAGCTATACACAACCGTTCAAAAGGTTGGGGTCACTAAGATGGTCTCTAATGATTTTTTTTCCCCCTAAGAAATTAATACTGTAATTGAGCAAGGATGCATTAAATTAAGAAACTGAGCACCAGTGACAGTAAAATACAGCACTCACACACACACACACACACACACACAACAAAACATAGGTACATAGGTAAAAATTCTATTTCAAATAATCCCTTACGAAAAAGAAGTTTATTCAAGTGTGCTATTAGTATACTTCTTTTAAACTAAAAATAGGAAAGTATACTTTTAGTCTACTTTTTATGTACTTCTCAGAAATGGGCTTTATGTACTTCTCAGAAATATACTTAAAATGACATTTAAGTATACTTGACTTATAAAGTCTAAATATATGTTAGCTATAATTGTGCTCCTAGAATCAGTGTTTTCATTGTTATACTGTAGGGGGAGCTAGTACACATATTCTGTACAGAATTTCCAAAACACAAGAGAAGTAAAGTGGGCCAATTTAGTCCCAAGGAGTATTGAAATAGTACACTTACAAGTATACTACTAGTACACTGATATTTGTATACTTACTACATAAAGTATACTTTAAAATATACTTGAACTTTACTTAAGTATACTTACTAAAATAAACTTGAAGTATACTACTTTTTGGTAAGGGATGCTATTCTTTTCTATTCATCAAAGAATCCTGAACATAAAATGTATAACGGTTTCCACAAAAATATTAAGCAGCACCATTTTTCATCATTGATAATAATAAGAAATGTTTCTTGAGCACCAAATCAGCATATTAGAATGATTCTGAAGGATCGTGTGACGCTGAAGAAAATTTAGCTTTGACATTGTGGGAATACATTTTAAAATAAATTAATAGAAATAGAAATCAGTTATTTTAAATTGTAATAATATTTCACTATATTACTATTTTTAATGTATTTTTGATTAAATAAATGCATCCTTGGTGAGCATAAGGGACTTTAATAAATCCTATAAACGTTTGTATGGTAATATATAAATATAAGATTTGCAAGGAAGAAAAAAGTACAAAATAAATAAAATAATATGCCAGTAATGACTTTTATCGACTAATACTAGGGTTTTGTGTATGTATTTGTGCAGTGGGATCTGGTGTGTGACAAGGCAGGTCTAAACAGTCTGGGCTCCTCTATCTATATGCTGGGATTGCTTGTAGGAGCTGTTGTGTTTGGAGCTATGGCAGACAAGTATGTACACACAATCTCACATACATTTGCATCCTCACACTTCACATGTGTGCTTTGTTCACCCTAAACAACCTGAAGGAATCTAGTGGTCATACCCTGCTCATTGATCTCTCTTTCTTTGTCCTGCTTCCCATTCAACTCTTTATGCATTAAATGCCCATACATACATTTTTAATGTCAAATGCACATTGCCTAGAGCTATTTATGCATTCACAGAAAGTAAATACACTTTACTGTTTCCAATTTAGTGGTCTGTATACTTTGTATGTACTATATATCAATGGTTTTCAACCAGGGGGTTAGGGCCCACTAGGGGGCCTCTGCAAAAGTTCCAGGGGGGCGCCAATATGTCTTAAAATCATGTAAATGTAGCTA